GAGGGTAGGAGTGGGAGGGAACGAGGGAGCGGGATACAGCTGGGATACAATATTAAAAAAAAGAATGAGAAAAATATGTGCACATAATTGGTGGGTATGTAAATTCGTAAACCATTTACACAGTGGCTTGAGTCTTAGATGTTCACCGAAGGCTCATGTGTTGGAAACTTGTTTGACAGTTGATAAAACAGTTAAGAAAGAGATGGGATCATGGAATCTAATCTTTTGTACTGAATCTTTATGGATTCATTATCTGATGACATTATTGAGAGGTGTGGCCTAGAGCTGGAGGAAGCAGGTCACTGAGAATCTCATTTGGAAAGACACTTCTTGTTCCTGAGTCTTTCTGCTTCTTTGCCACTATGATATAAATACCTTTTGCTACTTGTTCCCACTGCTATGGTATTCTTTCTTTTCTCAAGCCCAAAGTAATGGACCCAGCTGGACGCTAGAACTGCTGAAGCTATGACCAAAGCATATCCTTTCTCTTTTACATTATTTCCTTCTGCTATTTCTCCAATCAACAAAAAAAGAGCTTCTCCTCCTCCTTTATTTCTTCCTCCTCCTCCTCATCTTTCTCCTCCTTTTCTTTCTTCTTTTCTTCTTCTTTTTAAGGAGCTACCAGGCAGGGGAGATGGGCTCAGTGGTTAAGAGCACTTGTTCTTCAAAAAGACCCAGGTTTAGTTCATAGCACCCACATACACAGCTTAGAAAAGTTACTTTAGTTTTATAAGGACTTGATGCCTCTGACCTCTGACCTCCTAGGGTATTTGCACTTGTGTGGGGACACACAGACACACAATTTGAAATAATACAAATTTTTATAAAATGGAATTACTGTATGTTTCATCTATGCCATTTCTCGATTTGTATACAAAGGAAAAGAACCCAGTGTTCTGAATCAATATGAGAACTCCTATGTTTATTGTGGCCCTTTCACAGCAGCCATGAAATGGAAGTGATCAAAGCGTTTATCAGCTGATGAATGCACAATGAAAATATAATTACACAATACTAAAATAGTCATCCACAGAGGATGAAATCTTGTAATTTAAAACAATGTGAATTGATTTTGTTGTATGTCAACTGAAGTAAAACAGATACATAAACATGTATAAGATCTCCTATGTGGAATCTGAAAAAGCTGACCTCATAGAAATTGAGAATATAATGGAGCCTAGGTAAAAGCAAGGGTATGATTATGGGTATGACATCAATCGAAGAACAGTAAGTTATAGTTAGCTGATAGAAATGCATTCTGTGCTCTTTTGTACACTTTGGTGACTATAGGTAATGTACTACATCTTTCAGAAAAGCCAACAGAACCCTAGGACTTGGGCGGGCCCTGACAGGATGGCTACAAGTTTCAGGCCAGTCTGGGCTACATAATGAGATTCTGTCTTCAAAGGAGCAAACAAAGTCATAAAAAGTTTAATGTGTCACTGAGGTGAAAAGGATTAAGCTAAGAGTAATTCCTTTTTCCACTGCTTTTTTTTCCCCCACATTATGTATCTTAGGGTAACCAAATGATTGCTTTGTGGTGCTTTGAAACACTTTCTTTGTAGAGAGTAAATACTGAAGGAACAACAGGATTGGTAGAATGTCCACAACCCCAGCAGCAACCACCCAGAGCTACTGAAACCACGCAGATTTGATAGAACCTGAAAAGCTTCCAAGTTAAGTTTGCCATCACTAAAAGGGGGATAGACAGCTATATGTACTTCATGAGCTGATTGATACCTTGTCTTTCTAAATAGACTTCCTAAAATGAATGAATTAGAAAACAAACAAAAACTAAATAAAACTAGCACACTACAGCCCTTGGAACCAAGATCTTAAATTTCAATCAACAGAAAATTTGACCAAGACATGTTAAATTAATGCAAAATAGTGCTCAGCTTTATCCAAGGACTGGTACAATCTAGGGCACAATCGCTTGTTTATTTAACAAAGATAATGAATGACAAAGAAGGAAAGGAGAAATATTTAGTAAAGAAACAAATTTAAGAGATGTAACAAATGAAACTATTGACTCTGTTTAGGTCCTAAACTAAAGCAATCTTTTTCCAGAAAATTGATGAATTGATATCAAATGAGCACAAAGTATTACAAAAAGTACAAAAAGTACTAATTTTTAAAATTGTGATTATATTTTCTGACAGATACTCTTGCTCTCTAGTTCAGTTTTTGTTGTTGTTTTTTTGTTGTTGTTTTGCAAAAGTTTAGTGAATAAAAGTAGGATTGGCTGTGCTGAAGAGAGCAAGGAAGGATTTTAGGAGCCAGAGGGGTCAAGGATACCAGATGAACATGGTCCACAGAATCAGCTAACCAGGGCTCATAGGGGCTCACAGAGACTGAACCAACAATAAGGGATGACTATGGGTCTGAACTAGAGCCTCTCTATATATGTTATAGTTGTGTAGCTAGCTTGGTGTTGTTGTAGGAATCCTAACAGTAGGTGCAGGAACTATCTCTGACTCTTTTGCTTGTTTTTGGGACCCTCCTACTGGGTTGCCTCGTCTATTCTTGATAATAGGGTATGTGCCTAGTCTCATTTTAACATATTATGACATGTTTGATTGATATCCCTGGGAGGCTTTCTCTTTTCTGAAGAGAGATGGAGGAGTGGTGGACCTGGGGGAGAAGGGTGGTAGAAGGGAAGGACTGGGAGAAGAGGAGAAAAGAGTGGGGGGACCTGCAGTCAGGATGTAATATGTGAGAATAAAAAAAAGTAGAATTAGCTGTATTTGAATGGGTGCTATAAAGAAACTGCCAAAATAGCTGTTCAACTGGAGGAAAGTATTTATTGTTGATAAGAGAGATAAAATATTCAGAGGCATCTGAAAAAGTTCAGAGCATAGAAAAACAAAAACAAACAACAAAATACAGTGGACATGGCTAGGGTAGGGAAGCAGAGAAAAGAGAATAGCAGGAATAGCAAGAGAGAAAATCCCAAGCATAGCAAGAGAGGGAAGAGACAATAGTGGATTATGAGGAGGGTGAGCAGCTGAGGGGAGGGGGCGCTGATTTTTATTGAGCTGCCAGAAATCCTTCTATAGTCCAGCTTGAATTAATCCAAGGCTGTCACTTCTAGACATAGGCACTGCCTTTTGAAGTTTGGATATTGAGTTTTCTTAGGACCTGACATTAGCAAAATGTGGTTAATAATAGTTGAAGGGGCATGATAGGAACAGGGAAGCTCCATCTCTATTAAAAACTAATAAAAAGCCTGGATATCAAAGCTCACTTGAACTGATGTATAGTTTCCTCACAGCATATGGTTTCATTCCTGGCCTTACATACTACTATGGCCTCAAAAGAGTTTCTTGGCATCCCATTATTTCAGATCCCTGTAACCCATTCATCTGTCACCATCAGCTGCCCCCAGATGAGAGATCTACCAGTTTTACAAAAGATCCCAAGAGGTTCAGTGAGGTTCTGCTACAGCAGCACATCTCTTTGTTCTTCTGGGTGAGCAAGTGGATCAGTGGATCTGAACCATCTCTTTTCATTTTCACAAAGGGCTACAGGATATGGTTTACATTGCTCTTTTACATCTTCCTTCCTGATTTGTGCACAATGGGGCACAAATAGATATATTTGCTGACATGTTACAATGGTTTCTGAGTTATGTGAGTTCTCTGTATGTCTTTTAATCTAAGAAGCAGAATTTATGAAACAATCGCTTAACCAAAAAAAAACACGCAATGTTAATATTTTAGTATGTACTTTCTTTCAAATACAGATTATATATTTTATTTCATGTACAATATGATTTAAATAATTTGGGCTATGCTAGTGAGCTCCAACTTCCAACTCTGTGTTGCTCTCACCAAGAATGCAGTTGAGGGTCTGGAGAGATGGCTTAGTGGTTGAGTGCTTGCTGCAATAATTTTTAATGAACAGAGTTGAGACAGTCATTTGACATTTTGATTTAGGGCGATCTGGGGTCACTGATATGCCAAGGTTGTGATCTGCCACTGAACTGTATGTCCAGCTTCAGAGACATTCTAACTTTCACTATCCTCTTAGTGTTCTCTCAGCCAGGATAACTGACAACAGTGCCAGCTTCCAGTCAATTACTTCAAGGCCCTATCCCTGTTCTTCTGGGTTCTCTTCAGTTCTACATAGCCGGCCATGTAGTCTTTTAGAAAGACTATATATAAAATAATAATCTATAAAATAATCATCACTGAACACAGAAATTATTTTTCCTCTTCATGTGTTTTAGCTTCAACGCTTTACACATTATTGAAAATCAGGCAAAATTCCAAGTTAAGCAAAAGCCACAGCCAAGTGTCTAAGCAGCATTCTGTACACATATAAGCTAACATGTGCACACACACACATGTGCAAACACAAATACACTTGTACTGCACAAAAGCTAACATACGTACAGAAACGTTCATACCACACACACAACCTTGTTCTTTCATGCCTGCACACAAGCTAACACACACGTGAACACACACATGTACACACACCACATAGCAATACACATGCATAAAAACCACTCAGAAAACTAAAGCTAAGATCAGCACAAGTTGGAAGGCAACACCGCTCACAGCAATCCACCAAGTGTAGCCAAGCCTTTACAGTTACTTCTTCTTCAAGTGGTAGTTTGTGGATTTTTATTAAATACTTCTCTCTCTCTCTCTCTCTCTCTCTCTCTCTCTCTCTCTCTCTCTCCTGGCTGATTTCTCAAACGGTGTTTTAAGAAGAAAATGCTCCTTCACCACCATCACATTCTATACATACTCTAGTTTATTACAGTCGACTTTATCCACTGTTTGCCAGAAAGGGGTAATTTCTTCTCTAGAAGCCAATGCATATGGTAGCAACCTATCCTTCAACTCCAACCAATCAGGGCTCAGAAGCCATAATTAAATCCCACCACACATTAGTGAAATGCTACTACTAATTTTCTTTAGTAATATGGATACTACCTAAATAATTTTGTAAATTTGAAAAAAATTTGAAGACAAAATCTGGGAGACTGCTTATACACAAGAGGTAGAAATGTTTATTAGCATGTTCAAGGTAGGCAAAACTTTTAACATCTTAACCCTCACAACAACCCTGTGAGGTAGGTAAGTCATCTTGCAATAAACTAATATCCCAAATAAAGTGCAATTTCCTGAAGAGTCTGCACTGAGAGTAACTCAGTCATTAATAATGTAACCATACCATTTTTGTATGCGTATGTTAGATCTGTGTTTTGTGTAGCTTGATTCATGCAATACATTGTTACTAGAAAAGCTGTAAATCAAATCCCATTTACCATATTTGGAAAACTTTTTAAATAAACCCTTATTGATTTAGAAAAAAACTAAATTCTTATCTTGTAGTAAAAATAATTTCATAATACTGAAAGTGAGACAGTGTCAGCAAGACGTCACCCTCATTTACCCATCCTTACAGCAAGTTGTCTGAACATGGCACCACAGCAATGGAAGGTCCATAATGAAACCCTTAGCAGTTTGGTATTCGGCAGTGAACTCTGTTGTCATGAAAAGTCTTCAGATAGACTGCACCTGATCTCAACTCCAAACATAAACAATGTTATTTTACTGTAATGTAAACACTAAAATTAAAGATAGTTTATCAGGTATTCTTGCTTTAAAATAGTTTCTCTTTAAATTGCAAATTGATGGGTGACTGCAGGTCACTTATAACAAAACCTGAAATTTTGTCAACTGCTTAGGCTTGGCATCTGCGGCATTACAAATTCAAGCTTCTTAACGTCAATGAGCAGTTTCAAGAGAGCCAGATGTTAACTTTTTCAAAAATACCTTTTTCTCTGTGCCAATAAGAAACTCAACTACAAGAAATATTATTAGGTACCCCGTTTCCCTCTTAAATATATAATGCATTTCTATTGTTAGTCCAACACTAGTAAATATCCAGTTACCTAATATTTTTGATAGTTGCCTTGTCTGCAAAATAACTTAGTGGATAATTTTCATTAATTTAGTAAGATATCTAGGATTGTTATGTAATTTATTTGGAATGCTTACATTAACTAACATCAGCTTACTTAATGCTTGACACACACTGGTGGGTTTACAATTTAGGAAATAGTTACTATAACCTTCTACTACAAATAAATGGTTTAATCTAAAAAAATTCATATTTTTTAATTGGCAAAAGGAGCTTAGCAAAGGGTCAAACAAACTACAGCATTGGAAAAATCAGCCATCCATAAGCCATCCATTCAAGTCCTACTAGATCCGATGCAGTGCACCTCGGAGGTAAGGAAAGAAATAGCCAGATAGCCAAAATGCTGACCTTTATCCTAGGCTTTACGCAAATACCTAACACAGAAAATTTAGAGTTGAAACAAGTAAGTATTTTCTTGGATTTAAGGATAGAACTGTAAAAACTGTTGAGGTATATATAAATAAAAAAATACAAAGGCCACAAGATACATTTTATTTGAACATAACATATGCTTGTATAAAAATAACCCAGAAAATACTTTTAAAAATACATTTTTTGCATAGATCGTCCATATAAAAGATTTACCTGGGGCAAACAATGAAAAATACATCTCTGAAACTAGTATAGTTGAACTGTTGCCTTGGATACCAAGTATATACAGAACAAAAGCCCTTCATCTAGGGGAGCATGGGCAAGCTGGAGAACAGTTTAATTCAGCATCAGTCTATATTTATTTCTCTGTTGCTCGAATATAAACCAATGATGACAAGAGGAGAAACTCTGGGGGTTTATTTAACAAAATTAAATTCACATTTCTGAGGCCATCATAGTGCATCCAATGTCCATCAATCTGGAAAGCTGCAGAGTAATGATGTTCCTCTTTGTTAAATAAAGTGGCACCTTCCAGCAGATACCTGCAAATTATACAGCAATGTATAACAAAAAGATCAGGTTTCATTTTTATGATAAGTGGTCCTGAAGTTACTTTTTTAAATGGATTTACCTTTATAGATATATACTATCATTTCTGATTTATCAATAAGACAACTGATGTGTACAGTGGGCATACGTCCAAGGCTACATAGATCTTGTAAGAGGCAGGACTAGGGTTTGAAAACAGCCCTGTTCTATAGTCAAGCCCTTAATTGCTTACACATGCTGCTAGCATCTGGCTTCCTCAGCGTGGACTCTGCTCCAGAAAGCTGAAAGGCCTTGATTTTTTAACACATTGTCTATCATCACCCTTTTTCTTGTTGTTGTTGTTAGACAGGGTCTCACTGTGTGTAGCTCTGACTGGCCCAGAACTCCCTGTCTGCCTCTGAATGCAGAGGGAGGGAAAGGCGTGCACCACCTTGCTCAGCTAATGATATCTTCTTAACGGCTAGTCAAAATTACGGTGGACTATTTTTTTTCTAGTTTTGTAAAACAACAAACAAAAAGTACCTACTTGTGATCAGATAAATCCAAGTAATAGGGGACATATGCCAGATCTTCAGGTTTCCAATGCTGCATATTTAGCACAACAAAAGGGGGTGCCCCGTGGCAGAAAACTCGTTGGGAAAATTCTCTTAAGCCACCACACCTAAAATGAACATTGGCCATGAACATTATTATACATGGGACAAACTGCTTTACAATATTTCTGAACTGTAATTTTCTAGCAAGCACAGTTATTCTATTATAATGAGTAATGAGATGACTGTTTTATTGCCTTATTTTCCTAGTTCTGAAGATTTTTAGGGTTCTCTATACTAGAAGTGATGCTTTAAAAACTCCCAGAAAAGTTGACTGTTTATATTAAGAGTTATAAAAGCATGAATCTGTTAAACCATTGTAATAGCTTCTACTTATACATACAGTTTTCTCTTTGAGGGAGTTCCAATAATGACTGAGGAAGAATGCATCCTTTTTAGGTTTAGGATCTTCTATTAACATGAAGCAAATTCTCTCTTTTTTTTTTTTAGTATTAATAATATTAAGCATATAGATCAAAATACAGTTTTACAGTAAAATCTCGATTAACCGGAATGCTCAGGGCACAGTCTTCTGGTTGGCCAACATTACTGACCATACTAAGTTAACCAGAAAATCATTGACTTTAGTACTTGTTGCTAAAATATGTAGGCTCTTTTTCTTGGTCTTAAGAATCATTAACATATGTATCTTCCATCTTTCCTTTTTTATGATCAAGATCTTCAATGATCTTTTATGGTTTTATAAGATCATCCTTCTAAATATTAACTCCTAATGCACAAAATAATGTGGACATAGACATTTCTAAAGATTGGGGTAAATATTTATGACTCTTTTTTAAATGTGGTAAGTTTTTTTGGTTGTCATTTACCTTTCTCTTAAATGAGGATTGCAGAAAAAAGTCCATTTAATTGAGGGTCCTGATTAGCCAGGTTCCGGTTAACCAAGGTTTTATTGTACCTACTCAGCAATGAGGAAAAAGAGAAAAGGTTTTTGCTTTGTATTCACCAACTGGCAATAGTACCATTTTATATTTATATCTGATAACAAAATACAACATATGATGACATACTAAACAGGACCAGGAACACTGAAAAACTATTCAGGCTACCTAAATATTTAGGTATTGCTGTTTCAGAAGTATATTAACTTTAAGGAGCTTATTAACCTAGATTTCTTTACAACACAAAAGAAAATACTTTGATTTTAAATGTCTACTATGTACTCACCCATGCTCTTCACAAAGTTCAATCTTAGAACAGAATAACTCATCCACAGCCAGTCGTATCAAATTTCCATGTGGAATTTCTTGGGGAGGACTACAATAATAGTAAAAATGCAGGTAAGAATGGCTTTAACAGTTCAATACATTATTAGAATGATAAATTATAAGAGCCAACGCATTATGAGCAAAACGAATGGTATGAAGACTACAACCCCTGATATCTTTGGGTTTTGGGCTGTTTCATTTAAGACAGAATCTCACCCTTAGCCCAGGCTGGTCTGAAACTAACTCTGTAGCTCAGGATAGCCTCAAACCCACAGTGATACTTGTGCCTCAACTCCCTCCATGTTGGATTTACAGTCATACAAGGGCATACCTGAGCCTTATGTTTTAGGCTGATCCTATAGAGGCAGATGAAATCTAAAAATAATGCATAGATAAAGTTTCTTGTAAACTGATCCTGATGTATACAGTTGTTGCTACCATAACCTAAAAAAAGTTCCAGCCAGTTGTGGTGGTGCATGCCTTTAATCCCAGAACTCAGGAGGCAGAGACAGGGGGATGGATCTCTGTGAATTTTAGTCTAGTCTGGTCTACAAAGTGAGTTCAGGACAGCCAGGGACACGGGGAAACCCTGTCTTGAAGAAAAAAAAAGTTTCTCAACAGTTGAGGTGAGTTCTGATGAGTAGAAAGTTGGATGCAGAATCCAGACCGCAGCTGATTAGTAAATGCACTAGCAGCTGTGACCTGTTTTAGTTGCATCATCTGTTAGAAATGCTGCTCTAGAAACTTCAGAGTTTAAGAATATAAAAAATAAGCTTTAAAAGGGTTCTAGAGTATGATGAAAAGCCCTGTAAGTTAAAGAAATACAAAACAGTATTAACACAGAATTAGTTATAAAAATTTATACATTGACAAGATACTAATTTTAAAAAATACTTTAGTCCATTATGACAGAAAAAAAAATTCTGATGGATTTCAAGTCAACACCATCTAATCAGCAATCCAGAAAGGTAAGTGACATGTGTATGTACAATGTACATTTCCAATCTATTATTAGGCTGTCTTTTTCCTGACTAGAGCCAAATTGACTCTGACACTGTCTGGATTTGCTGGTCTTTCTCTGGCATCCGTCCTTTATCCCTCAGGTCCTCTGAGATTTAATGCTTGCCATCACTCCACCAGGTCTACTAGCTTGGCTTTCCCTACCATTACTTCCTATCTGGGAGGTCTGTGCTCTCTCTGAAAGCCAAAACCAGTCAGCTGTCCCCAGCACCTTCTCCACTTAGTGTCAAACATTCTTAGTCACATCCTCTCCAGATATGAGAAGCCAAGTTTGGAGTTTCTGTCTATAAATACATGCTGGTCTTGCCACGAGAAAGTATTTTTAGCTTTCTTGTTCACATAGAAGTATTCTTCCTGACAGAGGATCATTTGAAAGATAAAACACTCAAAATATTAAAGTGCTCTCTAAAAGGATAAGTCTTTGGCATAAAGCATCTAGTAAGCTTGGGCCAAGAATTATTCACTTTACATATTGGATAATTTATTTCTTTGCTACTAAAAAGTTATCAGGTGGTATTGTACATAGATACATATAATTAAGCAAAGCTCGTTTAAAAAAATAAATGTGACAAAACAAAATTGAAAACAACTTACTTTATACTAATTGTGCGCTGCTGATCTTCCTGCACTCGGGTCGGGCAGCGCCAGTTAGAACAGTAACTCTCTTGAATGGTAGACATGAGATTTTCAAGATTTTTTGTAAAATTATCATGCTCATTCCCAAACAAATCAATTACTAAGGAAGCTTTATGAACTTCAGATTTGTATTGCTGTTTCTCCATCTTGTCCCAAATCCAAAGCAGCTTCACAGTTGTAAAACTGTAGGTGTCCATTAAATAAAGAAAACAGTCTACAAACTCCCTGCCAAAATGGAGAGAGAGTTCCCTAGGGAAACTTTCATTTTCATTAAGAATGACATACAGTAACATCAAGAATCCATCTATGGTGCAGGTATTTTTCAGTCTGATCTCAACATAGAGGGGTGTACAGGATACTGCTTTGCGGCCAGCTTTGATAGTAAAAACTCCTCCCCAAGGAAGGACAGGCCTCCAGAATGATCGATCTTGGTTATAGTTATTTTTAATTGATGCTTTGATCTCTTCAAACAGTGTCTTCATCCTGAATTTTAAAAGTGCAAAAGAAAATGTGGAAAGAAATGAGATACATTTGAATGAAAATGAATCTACTTGCAGAATTGAGTTAGATTGTTATTGTTACTTTCCCTGTGTGAAAGAAACAACAACAATGACAAGCTAATACATTTGTGTGTGGCGGGGGGAGCAATACTTAAAGATCACTGAAGAAGCCAAAACTGGGACAGCAAGATGGTACCACTCAAGCCAGGAGACCTGAGTTTGATCCCAGGCACCCACAGAGCAGTGGGAGAAGAGGACTGACTCTACAAAGTTGCTTTATGATCTCTACAAGCATGCTGTGCTATGTGGAACCATGGACACACACACACGCACACACACATGCACACACACACACACAGAGATAACATCTTTAAAAAGTGAGCTTTGATACCTAGGCATTTTATTAGTTTTTAATTGATGTGGGGGCTGGAAAGATGGCTCAGTGGTTAAGACCACTTGCTGTTCTTGCAAGGTGACTTAGGTTCGGTTCTCAGCACCCATGTGGAGGCTTACAACTACCCATAACTCCAGTTCCAGGGACCCCAGTTCCCTCTTCTTGCCTCTGTGAGCAAAAAGCATGTACAATGTGCATAATCATATATACAAACAAAACCCTTGAATATATAAAATTAGAGGAATCTTTTTAAAAAGCCAAATTCCTCCTTTTAAGGTATACTCTGACCTTCTGATGGACCTTTGTAGAATTACATTAGTTTTTATATGTGACATAGGAAAATCTTGTACTAATCCTAAATGAAAATAAAGTTATTAAAAGGTATGGTCATGAAAATGTCATAGGGAAATGCTTACCACTTTGTAAAATTAACACACGGTAATAAAAACTAAAAATACATATTAAACTTTTTATTCCTAATATAAACCTTTTTCTACCTCCCCAATTAAAAGCTATGTTTCAGTTCCTTGTTAATATAGGCAGTTCCATGTAAGAAACTGAAATGACACCCTCAGATATTTTCAATACAAAAGAGCCATCTCATGGTTTTCATATTAATTATACTGCAAAGTTTACCTATGCTATAAAACAAGCACACAGTGATTTGTTGCTCTAGATGAAGGCTAACAGCATTTAACTTAAAAAGACAACAACAGAGAAGTGAACACAGCACTTCAAAAAACAGAACACTATTTCTATTCACTTTGGGATATCTATTTGCAACCTAGAATTGTGCTGGTCTGCATTTTACCGAGAGGCCATGTCATGAAACTCTTAGAACTTAATATCCTGATTCTGCCCTCTGCCATATTCTGGGAATACATTGGACTGTCCTTCCCCTTTAAACTGCCACCTTTCATTCCCCTAAATTTGAGGACAGCCAAACACTGTTTTTAATAAAGTGTTTTTATTAAATTAAAATTTATTTAAAATAAGATTTATTTTCATAAACTGACACTATTTTAATAAAGGTGTTTGTATCCTATGTACATTACATAAGCAATTTTTTTAGAAAGGTTCCCTGTTGAAAATTGTTTTGTAAAAAAGTTGTTGCTTTATTTGGGAAAAAAAATAACTATAAATGCCAGTATTGCTTTCTTTCTTTCTTTCTTTCTTTCTTTCTTTCTTTCTTTCTTTCTTTCTTTCTTTCTTTCTTTCTTTTTCTTTCTTTCTTCTTTCTTTCTCTCTCTCTCTCTCTCTCTCTCTCTCTCTCTCTCTCTCTTTCTAGTTCATTTGTTTTGAGACAGGGTTTCTCTGTGCAGCCTTGGCTGTCCTGGACTTGCTTTGTAGACGAGGCTGGCCTCCTCGATCCTCCTGTCTCTGCCTCCCAAACGCGGGGATTACAAGTGCATCACCATGCCGGGCAACAGTACTGCTTTCTAATATGTTACTTTCACAGAAGTTTATGAAAAGAGGATATAGGACATATCTAGGCAGAGGCAGGCACTCTCTGAGTTCCAGGCCAGCCCAGTCTACAAAACGAGTTCAAGACAGCCAAAGCTATACAGAGAAACCCTGCAGGAAGGGGTGAAGGAGATGTATCTGAGCAATAAAAACAAAGAACAAAATGGCCAAAGTCAGTCTCCCATTTTGACCAAGTTTTCTTTTCAAAATCACATCCTAAATACAACAGAAACCTATTTATAAACTGGAGTTTTATGTCCAAAATTAAGTTCAAAACTATTCTGTGGTACTAGCAAATTCTGTTGTAGGTTATACACATGTACACTGTTTTCCACTTGAGACAAGGTATTGCATTCTAAATTATTTAGTACTATATTTAGTTTGAAATATGAGTGTTTATAGTCTGTCAACACTGGCTCTCATCAATCATTTTGATTAACAAAATATGGCAAATCTGAAAACCACAGAAACACATCTCTTAATATAAATTGACCAGTTTCACTTACAGTTTTTTAAAATCCTAAGGTATTCAAGTAATTTTAAAACGAGAAAACCTTTTCATGATCTCACTTTTTATCTCTTTAATTAGGTTTAGGAGCTTGAGTTCGTATTCCTGAATATTATGTTACATTGGAAAGAAAGACTAAATCCTTGGTGTTTCTGTTCAAATTATCTCTTGGATGTGATTAAATGAAGAGTAATCACAGCTCTGAAACGCAATGGCTATAGTATGCAACGCTCAGAACCCATGAATACATAGGACACTAATCTAACTTTAGACTGGAAGACGTCGAGGACACTTAAAATTCCAGCAATAAGTTGGCCAGTTGTTCAAATGCAAACTGCAGTAAAACTGAGAAAACACAAGAACAGAAGTAGAGAAAACAGGAACGAGAGATGGGAGTTTCTGGCACTGACAGGTGACTGTCAGTGTGCTGGGCGGGCTCTTACCTGCCTCCATCCCAGCGCCTTCAGTTGGGCTGAGCCTGGGAAACTCCCCAACCGCAGTTTCTCCACCAACATGACCCCTTTCCCGAGCCGTGAGACCCCGGGGTCACAGTGCATCGCCCTGAGGACTCGACCACCTGTCGCGGCCACGGAACACCGCACTCCCGACGGTCTCGGGATCTGCAGTCCTCCCGGGGGTCCGCACCCGCGCGGCCACGCCCACCCTCCCGCCGCGGAGACCGGGCCTCGGGGCCGCGGGCTGCTGCTCCGTGCCTACCTCCCGCGGGACCGAAGAACGCCGGTGCCACCGCACCCGTCGCCGCCGCCGCTCGCTCATGGAGAGCCCGGGCCGCCGCCGCCGCGGCCGCCGCATCTACCAGCCCCTCCGGCTGCCTCGGCCGCCCCCGGCGAGCGTGCGGGGCCCCGGCACGGCCTCCATCGCGCCCGCCGCGGCGGGAGCCACCGCAGCCGCAGCGCCCAGCCCCACCCGAGCGGCCCACGCAGCCGGGACCGCGGGGCGCGGCGCGTCGCTTGTTACGGAGCAGGATTCCGCGGGCCGCCCCCTCCCCCCCGGCCCGGCCAGGCCAGCCGCCGGCCGCGCTCCTGCGCAGGCGCGGAGGCCCCGCCCTGCGTGCGCGTGTCGGCTCTGTGTACAGTCTTCAGGCCTGCCCAATCGGAGCCGGGATCAGGTGTAGGAGGGCGGGTCCTCGCCCAGAGGGGCGGGGTCCCAGCTTGACAGGGTGGGTGGGGCAGCCGGAAAGGGGCTGGGTTTTCCCTGAGCCGCTACTGTCTAGGCTGGAGGGGCTTGGCCTTTTGACGTTAGTACCGATTTGGGACCGGTCTTGATTGTAGTTTGAGTTTAGGTCTATGGAATCCTTAACTCAAAAGAGAAAGCTCCTTTTTTTCCCCCAGTAGATTAGAACTATGTGAGATATTAATTTAAATGTATATATGTTTGAAATATATGTATATGAAAAAAGTTGAACCTTAAATATTGTTTAAGATTAGCCACAATGCAGTATTCTACAATGGAAGGGAATACCATTTTAAAAGTCGACAGCTTAAGCCCCACTGTAGTGCTCAAAAATTAGAGATTAAGTTTCCACGCAGTAGTGACAGAAAGGATGCTCAAGTTGAAGATGTTTAATTCTAGAGTTTGTGGCTTTACCCCACGACTCATTTTCTTTAGGATCTTTTTAATCTTTGAAGAGTTAAGGCTCTGTGTAGCCCTGTACCCGTTCTCAACCAGAACGGGAGAGGATGTTGCGATTATTCCATCCAATCTCAGAAAAAAAAACCTCTCGGATATGGAGAGAGAAATGCCAGTCCATCACAGGCTGGGCCTGAGGAGGTTGGATGCCTTGAATGATATAAATCTAATGCAAGGCTGTGCATGGACCTTTCATAGATGGAGGCATGCAGGCTAGGCAAAATAGTTCTCTAAGCAAAGTGAGAAAAAAGACGATAGCTCTGTCCAAAGAATTATAACTAGCAATTCCTATAAAGCAGTTTTTTTTTTAAATTTTCTGGCTTTTGTAGTTTCTCACTGTATTTTACAGAGAAGAATTACTGATACCGTGAGAGTTTAGACAAATTGTGTTCAAAAAGGTTCACGTGATGTTAAACTTACCTTGATAAAAGAACACCCCTATAAAATAGTTGTAAATATTAATTATATATTTGATTCACAATCTCTTCAAGACGTTGAGTTCAATTTACAGTAAGTGGTTCATTCTTTTCTTAAAAGCTAACAGATGGTGGCGGGTGGAAAACAGCAAAATGTATCATTAAAGTATGTGAAGACCAGCTAAGGGGAAGCAAGTATGGGTTCCTTGCATACTTACATCATTCCCAAATGTCTTTGAGGCTACTTAACAGATTTCTGCTCTCCTTATCCAGGTATAGCTGACATATGGAACATATTTAAAGTGCACCATTTGGCAAGTTTTGACACATGTATACCTGTGTGAAGACACACATGAACATGTACATCACCCTTGTGTGATTTATTTATGTGCCCCTTTATAGTTTCTCCCTTCCTGCCTCCGTAGAAATAGAACCATTGTTCTCTTTCTGTTAGTCTATGTTCACCTCCATCTCCTTAAGTGTCACCTAAGTGCAGTCAAAGTGGGTACTCCATTTTGTTTGCTTTCTTTCATAGAGTGTTTGTTTGGATACCCACACATGTCATGTACAGTAGTGCCTTGTTTATTGCTAAATGTATTTCATTGTGTGGATGGCTGCAGTTTCTTTCCTAGTCAGCAGATAATGGACAATTAGAGTGTCTCTAGTTTTCAAGAAAGCTACAATGAATATTTTTTTTTGCAAGAAAATATGTACATACACACAGTTCCTTTGCTCTTGCGTGAGTATCTAAAGTGCAAGGACAGATGCATGTTTCATTGTTGTGTATATAAACATGTTTTTGTTTTGGTCCCAGGTGTGGGATGTGGGACTGATTCAGATGGTCCACAGCAGCAGACTATTTGCCTCATACAGGCTCTGAGAGGAGCTCTTTGCCAGCTGCAGATAGTTTAAATCTGAGGACTCTGGAGATAGAATAAATGCCACAGCCCAGAGAGTGTGGGGGCTCCGAGAAAGAGCAAGGATGCTCCTTCTTCTCCCTTGCTGCTCCTGGTTGCTGTTGTGAGACAAGAAGTTGGAGATCTCCTGAAACAAGGATTGGACTGACTCCAAGGAACCTGTGGACCCTAACCAACATGAAGCAGCTGAGAGAACTGTATCCCCTCTCCCACTAATCCTTTCTCCTACCTGGTGTTGGGGTGTTGAAAGGGATTAGGGTGGAGTAGGGAGAAAAAGATAAAAGAAATGTAAATAAAAGTTTTTTAAAAAAAACTAACAGCTACATTTTATTTCTCAAAAATTGCTTTTTTTTTTTTCTACATTATTTTTTTTTTTTTTTTTTTTTTTTTTTTTTACCGTCACAAAGGTTCTGCTTGCTGTTCATGCTAACCAATATTTGGAACTTTTTTATTTTTTCCAAGGTGTGGTTGTGACAATTATATGAATTGTTACATGTCAAAAAGGAGGTAGGTTAGAATCTAGAGGATAGTAGTGACAGAGGAGCTAGCTCTCAGGAGTAGCAAAATGAAGGAAAAGAACGGGTGGTTAAAATTCCAAGCAACTCACACATGTTGCAGTAAGGATGGACTTCAAGGATAAAGGGAGATTAAAGGTTAAGACAATAAAACCTGCAGCACTGAAGTAGATGAATTCAAGGTCTTGTAGTTGGGTATGAGAAAAACAAGCTAGACAGTCAAGAGGAAAGAAACAGGGCTCTAAGATAGTGTCAGAAGGCTGCCTACCTGTCTGCCCCTTCTCTACCTCCTAAAGCCAAGGAAGATAAAGTATCTATAACGTACTAATGATTGTCCTTTCGTATACTTTTGCCTCCGATGTAGGCAGTCACAGCTGGCTAAATTGTAAATAAGGATAACTTCTAACAAAAAGCCTCCACCTATGAGATCACCCCAAAGCACTTCACATAAACTGCAGCGGCATCTTGGTGGTTGTGATGGGGTTAATGCTGTGCGGTGGGAAAGGAACAAGCTGGTCAGGTAAATGTGAAAACAAGGGGGACATGGTATAATTAACCGCAAGACACTTACAAAGTTCACAGTGGCAATGTCAGCCACAGATTTCAGCCAGCACAGTCAAGAACAGCAGCTAATAAAGCACACAACAGCAGTGGACTGAGGCCTCAACTTCCCCTAAGTGGGTAGGCAGCATATAAACAGCACACTATCTTTCTGGTTAGGCTGGGAGAGCATAGAGAGCATGTGAGTTCTCCATGGCCTTATCCCATGCTAGCCCAGAGAACTAACTAGTCTCATACCAGCTCCCTTAGTAGCTTTATGTAGTTTCTGCCTTAACAATTATAAGAACCATAGAAAAGGGAGTTTGAGTGGCTTTTTCTGTGCTGAAAGCCATCCTACTTTTTGGGGAGCCTCTATCAATTTTTTTCTTTTTTTTTTAATCCCCCATAAGCCCCTCTCTCCTCCCCTGCCAATCCCACTCTCCCTCCCCTTTCTGCATGTATGCCACTCCCCAAGTCCACTGATAGGGGAGGTTCTCCTCTTCTTTCTGATCTTAGTCTATCAGTTCTCATCAAAAGTGGCTGCATTGTCCTCTACCCTGGCCTGGTAAGGCTGCTCCCCCCTCAGGGGGAAGTGATCAACGAGCAGGCCAATCAGATTATGTCAGAGGCAGTCCCTCTTCCCATTACTATGGAACCCACTTGGACACTGAACTGCCATGGGCTACACCTGTGCAGGGGTTCCAGGTCATCTCCACGAATAGTCCTTGGTTGGAGTATGATTTTCTGGGAAGTTCCCTGTGTTCAAATTATCTTGTTCTGTTGCTCTCCTTGTGGAGTGCCTGTCCCCTCCAGCTCTTACTATTTCCCACTTCTTACATAAAATTCCATTCACTCTGCCCATCAGTTGGCCATCAGGCTCAGCATCTGCTTTGACAGTCTATACTGCAGAAGCTTTCAGAGGCCCTCTTTGCAGGTTTCAAGGTGGTTTCCTGTTTTCTTCTGGCTTTCAGAGGCCCTCTGTAGCAGGTTTCGAGGTTGTTTCCTATTTTCTTTTTCTTCTGATGTCCATCCTCTTTGCCTTTCAGGATGGGGATTGAACATTTTAGTTAGGGTCCTCTCTTTTGCTTAGTTTGTTTAGATGTACAGATTTTAGTGGGTTAATTTATATTGTATGCTTATATGAGTGACTATATACCATGCATGTCTTTTTGCTTCTGGGACAACTCACTCAGGATGATCCTTTCCAGTTCCCACCATTTACCTGCAAATTTCATGATTTCCTTATTTTTCATTGCTGAGTAATACTCCATTGTATAAATGTACCACAATTTCTGCATCCATTCTTCAGTTGAGGGGCATCTGGGTTGTTTCCAGCTTCTGGCTATTACAAATAAAGCTGCTACAAACATGGTTGAGCAAATGTCCTTTTTGTGTACTTGCGCCTCTTTTGGGTATATGCCTAGGAGTGGTATGGCTAGATCTTGAGGAAGCGCTATTCCTAGTTGTCTGAGAAAGCGCCAGATTGATTTCCAGAGTGGTTGTACCAGTTTACATTCCCACCAGCAGTGGAGAAGGGTTCCCCTTTCTTCACAACCTCTCCAGCATGTGTTGTCCCTTGAGTTTTTCATCTTGGCCATTCTGATGGGTGTAAGGTGAAATCTCAGGGTTGTTTTGATTTGCATTTCCCTAATGGCTAATGATGTTGAGCATTTCTTTAAGTGCTTCTCTGCCATTCGATATTCCTCTACAGAGAATTCTCTGTTTAGCTCTGTTCCCCATTTTTTAAGTGGATTACTTGGTTTATTGCTTTTCAGCTTGTTTAGTTCTTTATATATATTGGATATGAGTCCTCTGTCAGATAAAGGGTTGGTGATGATTCTTTCCCAATCTGTAGGCAGTCGCTTTGTTTTGATGACGGTGTCCTTTGCTTTACAGAAGCTTTTCAATTTCATGAGGTCCCATTTATTGAT